CTCTTCTGTCTTTGCAATGACCGTTTACACTCTTCCTGGATGATACCCTTTATATCCTCCCACAACTCATCTGGCCTTCGCTCATTAGTGTTCAAAGCCTCAAACCTGTTCCTGAGATGGTTCTGAGCTTTGTTGATCATTTATCCTATTTTTTCAGCTATATCCTTCTCATTTTCTTCCCACTCTCACTCCACTCCCCAAATTGTGCAACCCTATTGTTTCGCCCCTGTGCATCCTCACTTCTCTGCTCAGACCTCTTTGCCACTTGGGTTTCCATACATGTTTTACTAGTTATCCTTCTATTTTTACAATAATAGCCTTATACAGTATTTGTCCTTATGATACTGAGTTAGTTCACTCACCACAGTGGTCTCCAGCCTCTTCCAAGTTATGTAGTATTTTTCAAAATAGTTTTTTCTGAGTGTTGCATAATAGTCTATTGTGTGAATATACCACAGTTTCTTAATCCTTTCAGTTGTGGCTAGACATTTCAGCTGTTTCTATGTCCTTATGATCATGAACAATGCTACTATGAACATTGGTGTATAAATTTCCATTTGTGTCTCAGTTCTAATTTCTTTGGGTTATATTTCTAGTAGTGGAATAGCTGGGTCATATGGAGTTTCTATGTTCAACTATTTGAGGAAATGTCAAACTATCTTCAAGAGTGGTTGTACCATGTTAAAATGCCACCAATAATGTATGAGTTCCTGCCTCTCCACGTCCTCTCCTATATTTATTGCTTACTGTTCTACTAAATTTTGTCACCGATACTGGGGTAAGATAGTTTCTCATTGTGGTGTTTTATTTGCATCTCTCTTATTGCCAGTGATTTTGAGCATTTTTTCATATGTCTGTTGGCCATCTGAATGTCTTCCTCTGTGAAAAGTTCTTCCAGGTCTTTTGCTCATTTTGGAATTGGGTTATCAGTCTTTTTCTTCTGGAGGCCCAGAAGTAGTCTGAAAACTTTTGTTATGAGACCTTTGTCTGAAATGGTATTGCAGAATGTTTTATTTGCAGCCGGTAGGTTTTCTTTCCATGCTGTTGAAAAGTGTTTATGATGAGCACAGAGATTTAATCTTTATAAAGCCCCATTCATTATTTTTATCCTTTTCAGGTTGTGCACTTCTGGCTGTCTCTGATCTACCTTGAGTTGACTTTTGTGTATGGTGTGAAATGTAGATCCTGTTTCAACTTTCTGCAGGTAGTAATTCAGTTTTGCCAGCACTGTTTGTTGAAGAGGTTGTTATTTCCCCATTTGTTAGGTTTTATTTCCTTGTCGAATATCAATTGACCATAGATGTTGTTGTTGTTGTTGCTGTTAAGTGCTGTTGAGTCTCAGGCGACTCATAGCAACTCTATGAAAAAGAGTCCTTGACGCTTGGGTGCCTTTCATCCTCTCTCCTGGTTTATAGGGTTTCCGGAGGCAAGCTATTATGGAAGTGGGTGCCACTCTTCCTTCCAATGACCATAGATAGATGAATTCATTTCTTGGTTCTCGATTCTGTTCCATTGGTCTATGTGCTTATCATTGTATTAGTATCATGCTGTTTTGGTTACTACTGCTGTGTAGTGGGTTTTGAGGTAAGGAGGTGCTATAAAAACTCTTCATGACCCAGCTATTCCATTACTAGGAAGATAACCTAAGGAAATTAGAACTGATATACAGAGATTTGTACACCAGTTTTTATAGCAGCATTATTCACCATCCCAAGAACATTGACACAGTACAAATATCCAACCAGAATTAAATGGATTGAAAAATTGTGGTACATTCACACAATGGAATACTATGCAGCATTCAGGAGCAACTATTTGGGAAAAATACTATGTGACTTGGAAGAGGCTGGAGAGCATTATGCTGAGTGATCTAACACAGTTTCATATGGACAAATCCTGCATAAGACCATTACTGCAAAAATAGAAGGATAACTATTAAAACATGTATGGGAACTCAACAGGAAGGGAAGGGAGGGACTGGAAGGGTGTGAATAGGTAGGGTGAAATCCAAAAGATTGCAGAGTTTTCTGGATGGAGAGAAGGGGTCAAGGAAAAGTGAAAGATCCGGGAGGAAAGACAGGGTAACATAATGCATGAGAATAATTGTCTGAAAACAATGTAAATGAAAAATAATGTGAAATACAATGTATACAAACTTGGTAAGCAAACCAATAAAAAAATTTTAAAAATAACTGTAAAGCAACAGCTTGTGTAAGCTAATGATTATAAAAATATAATGAGATCATTTCAAATCATGAAGAGTTTGGAAAATCTTAAATTGCCTTCAATTTAATCAATAATTTTGGGATGAAAGGTGTTTTTAATCAATTTATCTTTTACCTGAAGAATAATATCTGGAGGCATTTCATAATTTAAGAACCCAATACCATGCCAATACAATTTTGCCTTATCATTTTTGTAACTTTCCGAAGTCCCAGCTTCAATGATGGAAGCTCCTAAAATTAGAAAATATTTCTTTGATTAAAAATGTATGTTCAATTTAAAATACATCATTTGTATCTAAATCATATTATTAGAAAATTATTACTGAGCAAATTACAAATGAGTAAACATTCATAGTAAAGAAAAGTGCAACAATGAATGACTGGAAACACTAAGTGTCTGTAAATTTTCTTAAAATTAATAAAAAAAATAATTGGTAGAAAAAACATGACATTCCATTTTTATTGTTATGTTGATTGTTATGTGCCATTCCAGTCAGAACCATCTCACAGTTGACCTTCCAGTGGATTTTCAGAGACTGTAAATCCTGCTCGAGGAGACTGTCCATCTTTTTTCCTCAAGGAGCTGGTGGATTTGAACTGCCTGCCTTTGAGTTGGCCAGCACCACTCCTTATGTACGAGGTTATGAGAGCTTTTTTTGACCCAATTTTTATTACTACAAAATTTTATGGTAATATCCACTTGAATTCACAATATTTCTGAAATTAGTGTGATAAAATACCAGAATTCAGAACAACTGATGTGATTGTGGGTAAGAGTCTTTCTGCTAATTCTTAACTCATTCTATCTACAGCACAACCAAATAGTTCCAAATCTTGCACCATCCTCATAATCTCTGTTGTGCTTAAACACATTTTTGTAGTCACTGTGTCAATCCATCTCATTAAAGGTCTCCTTTGAATAACGTGGTGGTCTGGTAGTAAGAAGTTGTGCTGCCAACCCAAAGGCAAGAGGTTTGAACCCACCAGCTGCTCCACATAAGAAAGATGAACAAGCTCTTCCAGTGTGATTTGCAGCTTCTAGAAGCCTGCTGGAGGATCAATAATATGTCCATTTCAACTCAACAACACTTGATGGCAATAGCTATTTTGTTTGACCCTCAACTTTTCCAAGCATGATATCTTTTTTCCCATGAGCTTACCCTTCCTGATAACATTTCTTAAATATAGGACACCAAGTCTTATCATCTTTGCTTCTGAGGAATACTCTAACTACATTAATTCCAAGACAAGTTTTATTCTCCTTTTGGGCAATCTGTGGAATATTTAATATTTTTCTCCAACACCACAATTCAAAGGCATTAGTCCTTCTCTGGTTTTCTTTATACCCTGTTCAATTTTCACATGCATATGAAACAACTGAAATGGCTTAAATCAAGTGTACCTTAGTCTTTAAACTGACAATCTTGATTTTTAGCACTCTATAGAGGCAATTTATAGCTAATTTGACCAATGCAATACAGCCTTTGATTCTTTGGCTGCTATTTCCACAGATGTTGATTGTGGATTCCAGTAAAATTAAATCCATGACAACTTCAATATTTTCTATTTATCATGATATTGTAACCTGATCTAGTTGTGACAAATTTTGTTTTATGTTGAAATGTAATTTATATTAATTTGTAGTTTCTAATATGTGGAATTTTTTTAGCCTAAAAATATATGCCCAAACCAAACTCAATGCAATCAAATAGATTCTAGTTCATGGCAGCTCCATCTATTTCATAATGGAACTGTTCCCCATAGGATTTGCAATGGCTACAATCTTACAGAAATATATAATCAGGTCTCTCTTCCTGGCATTACTTGATAGACTCGAGCCACTAATGTTTTGGTTATTGTTATTGTTGTTGCTGTTGTGGTGGTGGTGATGGTAGTGTATCATTACGTTGTAATAGTTAATTTTCCAGGGAATTTTCAGAGCCAATTGATTGCACAGAAAAAGATTGCCCATCTTTCTCCTGCAGAGAAGCTGGTAAGTTAAAACTGTGTGCCTTTGGATTGGGAGCACAATTAGTTGAGCATAAATCATTTGTGTCACCTGTATCAAAGCTTGAAATCTGAAGAACTTGGCTTGTGGGAGGCTGAAGCTTGTACCAGAGCTTGAATTCCATTCCAGTTAGTACTTACACAAGCACAAATCTGAGTTCTTCTGGCCTCCACCTGCCACATGACGTTGCCCTCAGGATACATTCAGTTGTAGTTGCAGATGCAAGACTAATTTAGGAAGGGGCAATTACTCGTCCTTAATGATTCCCAAAAGTCAGAGCTGGGCCTCCATATAGCCTGGCAACAGGAGTGAGAAATCCAGAACCAATCAGGAAGGCTTTTTATTTAAAATTCCATGTATTCTCATCATAGTTTTCATTGCCTGGGTAGTCGAGCCAGAATCTTAAAAATTAAAGCAGTAGCAATGTATTTGTAAAATACACTATAGGTGCCATTGTTGATGAAGTTTTCCCATTTCCAGCATGTTTTCTTTGTCTTTGTCCAGCTTACATCTTAATGAAAGAATTTCTAAAGAATATGTCCAAATTTGCATTGTCTTATTCCTCTAAGGAGCTCTGGTGCCTTAGTGGTAAGGAGTTGCATCACAAACCCAAAGACATGTGGTTCAAATCCACAAGCTTCTTTGTTGGAGAAGGATGGAAAACCTCTTCTCATGAGATTTACTGCCCCAAAAAATGACTGCAGGGTCAGCTATGAGTTGGTTCCAACTCGATGGTACATAACAGTAATAACAACAATAACATTTCTCTAGAAAATTTTTCAATGTTATTGTTGGTTTTAGTAGTTGTGATTGAGTCACTTCTGACTCATCATTAGCAAAATGAAATGTTATTTGATCCTATTCCATCTTTGTATTCTTATTATGTTTGAGCTCATTGTTACAGTCACTCCATCAAATTTTCCAACTGAAAGTATCTCTATTTCCTTGTCAACCTTCTGGTAAGAAATTGAACTGCAATCCCAAAGGCACACAGTTCAAATCCATTCTTTTGTGATGTTTACTGCCTCTAGAGACTCACTGTAAGGTGAGCTATGAATTGGTTCCGACGTGATCAGCACAGAACTATCTGGCTTTATTTTTTTTCAAGACAGATTTATTAATTGTTCTGGTAGTCCATGATATAGTCAACATTCTTTGCCAACACCACAAGTCAAAGACATAAATTTGTCAGACTTCCTTTCTGATTGTCCAGCGTTCACATGCAAATAACCATGTGAAAATATCATGATTTGGGGAAGATGAACTTCCATTCTCAATGTGATATCTTTTATTTGTAATATTTAATATAAGTCTTTTGCAATAGCCTTGCCAATCTATGCAATAAGTCATTTGATTTGTTGATGGTTGCTTCCATGGGTGAAATCATCAAAAATCATATGTAAATATTTTACAGTAATATTCAGACAAGAGAGTTTGGCCAAACAACTGGCCAGCCAAATAGACACAGTAAAATGAACTATCTTAGCCAACTCCTTGTCAAATTGGCACCCCAACACATCTCCTTAATGTCCACTATTGGGCAGACAGGGATTATTGTACACAGGGTTGCCATGAGTCAGATTCCACTTGATGTGGCAATGTGACAGGAAGATGAATGATCCACAGGGTAAGTTTATAGTAATATATTTTAACTGTGTGATATTAACAACATTATTTATTATCTTTTAAGCCCTGCCAGTTAACAACTATGTAATTAAAATATATAATTATATTGAATGTTGAGTTGTTTCCTGTGTTTCACACATGTCCTCTCTCCCCCAGCTTCATTGTACCATCTCAGTGCTGGCATCCTCTTACCTGTATCCTGACAAAACTGCACTGTCATTCTTTCCTCTAGCATTTGAACTCAGAAACAATCAATAACAGCATTTCTATTATCTTTTTTAGTTATTTAGATTTATTAAATTTTTCAAGTTATTAGATAGAGAAATCTGCTTAGTAAAGCTATAGAGAGGCTGGGGGTAATTTTGAAGTAGTAATTGTTTTTAATTTTTTTTATTGGTATGCATATAATTATTCCTACACATAATATTTCACTTATGTACATAATGGAATTTTAAAACTTTTTAATATTTGTTTTGCTTTTCCATACTCACCAGCAGACTTTAGGGCATAATCAGCCTTCTGGACTTGATCCTCTCTCAACTTTTTAAGTACATAATTTACTAAGTTTGACATTTCCTGTAAAAATTTAAAAACATTTTATGCTGAGTCTTGATGATTTACTTTATGGTTTAAACCTACACTTCCTAATCTGAAAAATAATAGTAGTAACAGTACACATTTATTACTAATTAAGCAAGCATTGAGCCAGGAACTGTGCAATGACACCTAATATAAACTTCACAGCTCTCAGACAGTTGAACAGTTAAAGCTAAGTGTGACTGAAGGTTCTCCAATATCATTCAGGAAGATGGACTGACATCACCACTACATTGCTCACATACAGAGGCGGCAAAAGGAAGCTACATGGTTTCCAGATTTGTCTCTCAAGGCCCTGTGCTGTAATGTCTTTGATATTTTACAGTTACTTAGAAATCAAGCCAACTTATACAAAGTGGATAATTGATTATAAAATATAAGGCAAGAAGTCTATTATTTTTCAATCTATGCCCTCACCTCTCAGCCTCCAAATGTCCTTCTTTCTATAATTACATGGCTCCTATGGTGCTGTTACTTTAATTATTCAACCATTTGGATTAATGCTGTTCTCTTAAAGGACATTCTAGGGTTTTTGTTAGAAAAGGTAAATTATCTCTGCGTGCCATATGATAAGATTTCTAATAAGAGAAGCCTGGAAGTGAGGCCTTGAAGAAAGTAGGTCACTAGTATCAGATATCTTATATTTTTAAAAAACAGACTTCAGGAAAGGAAAATAATAGAAGCAAAGCAAAAAATAACTGGTTTTATCATAATTTTGCCTAATTTGGTGTTAATTGGACTAAGCAGGAATATTTCAATGAGTAAATTTTTTTTTACTATGTGTGTGTGTGTGTGTGTGTGTGTGTGTGTGTGTGTGTACACATTGATTTTTCCCTATTTACAGGAGATAAACCCCAAAACTACAGATAATGCTATTTCTGAATGACTACCCCACATTGCTACTTCTGAAAGATAAAATAAGGCCAGGCATTTATTTTGGTGAGAAATATGTTAAGTTACATTGCAAAGCTTCCTCTAAGACACAGCATGTATGAAAAAGCAGGATCCTGGGGGCCAACTTGAGTGAAAGGAAGTTAATATGAGGAGAGAATTTTAAAGAAGAAACCATAGTTCAATGTCAACACAACATAGTAAATTCATTCAAACAGCAAATGTGAAGTAATAATAGAAGAAAATTCTAAAAAACGGTTTCTCAAACCTCTCATAACTTCTCACCTCATCAAGAGTATCATTGCTCTCTTGTTCCTCCACAGGGTCCCCAGTCCAGCTATGATTGTACATACCATCCTTCATTTCTGTTAGTAATGCTTTGAGAACATCTATTTGTTTTGTTACAGATAGAATTTCTTGGAAATTGTTTTCTAATGCCTGGCTTTCTCTCCTGTAAATGGAGAAACTCAGTGAGCAAGGAATAAAGGAGGAAACTTTGTTTAGAGGTTCAGTGCATCAGCAGAGAGAAAAGCTGACTCTGACGAGTTGTTCTGACTGGTGTGTGTGTGTGCACACAGAGCTGAGCTCCACAGGCGAAGTTCTGAGGACTGAGATTTCAGAAGCAGAAGTGCTGCCAGCATTTGAATTTCCTGGCTTTGGGTTTATAGCTAAGCACAATAAACCTTTGTATCATTCAAGAACAGCCCAGCTAAGAGAAGAGTAGTTTTATATTGTTAACGAGATTAACCTCCAAGTGGGAATAAGGCAGTCTTTGCTCTAACTCATTACTGTTTTACTAAACACACACATGGACATATGACAGCCACAGAAAGCTTTCTTGAGGACAGCTCAGTACAAGGGCTATGCTCTAGGTGTGCAAATCTGAATGCAAGATTTTCACTTTCCTCTGAGGGAACTGGGCCATGCCGACTGGAGGCTTGGTGCTGTTGTGTGAGTACGCACATTAATCCTAAAGATGGTTTATTAAGGCTGCAAATTGCATGGAATTAGATTACCCATCTTTCTTTCTTGGAGCCACTGATGGGCTCGAACCACCAGAGTTGTACAAGCTTGGGGCTTAGCAATGTATCTCCCTACAGATGAGGTGAACAGACCACCCTGTGTGAGTATACACAGTCAAATCCAAAACTATAAGCTTCTTAATATTGAGACACATCTTGTGTTTGAAGAGTAATCTAGTTTTATGGTTGTGATTCAAGGAAATCTAGCCAGAGGGAAACCACCTTCTACCCATTTTAAAGAACATTGTTTAAGATTTTACTTTAAAGGAAGAATTCTGATAGTTTTAAAGTCTGAAAGTCAATTAGCAAATAAAAAATGTCAAGTTATTTGGTATTTCTTTATGCTTTTAAAAAAAAAAACCTCCACAAACCAAATGGTATATATACGGGGAGTGGGGGTGGGGGGGATGAATTCTAAAATTTCAAAAGAATATATATTCAATGTTTGGGAAAAGCAAGTCTAGAAGAAACAAATCCTACTAAATTTTAGAATTTGTTCAAATATTACTTTTATTCTGTAAAAATATAACATAAAGAGATTGTACTTTTAATTCTATGTTCCAAGACACTTTGTTGTTGTTGTTGTTGTTGTTGTTATGTGCCGTCGAGTCATTTGCAACTCATAGCGACCCTATGAACAACAGCCCTAAACCCTGCTCTATCCTGTGCCAATCTCATTGCCTCTGACACACCCACCCCGATTACCCCAGTCACTGAATCAATCCACCTCATAG